CAACACTCCTCCTTTATCCGGACTTGTGACCGGCACGGAGCCCGCCGAACAGCGGTCTCCGAGGTGGAGTTACCCACACCCTTAGAGACCTTTAAGCATATTTGGACGAAAATTCGATAAAAAAGGGAAATGTTTAACTATATCGTTTCCACATGTAAGCCATTTTTGGTTTTGTTCGTATTTCTGTAATCAATAATTATCATTCATTTATTTACTGTAAACAATTCAAAAGCAAGAAAAGAAAATCAAATAGAGTACGCATTTACTTCGTCAGCTTAGTGTCTGAATTAACAATAAGCAGCGATATTTCAAAAAATTATCGTAACTAATAGATAGATGAGAGACACTGTACCAATGACGTATAGCCGTGTAGCACTACTAATCGTTGTACTGGTCACTTGTACGTCTTCTACTTGTACGACAGCATTGGCAATGCCACAGAAATTTTTGCCTCGTGCAACACGGATGTAACCTTTCTCACCCCAGTTTTCACCTAGGATTGCGACGAATAATCAAGATAAATTCACTGTAAGTCATTACTCACCCCAACTATTTTTGCACAACCAGTATGGTTTACCCCCTTCGGTACCATAGCCAACAATTTGTATCTAGGAAAAGAGCTAGATTAACAAATACAAAAAGACAGTATTTGTTGTTGATTACCACATGATCGGGCGTTGTTTGTGAGCAGGTGGAATCATCATCAAGAACACCTGAAGAGAAAAGAGCAAGCATACCAAATGTATCAAGTGCACTGTCGTACCCTCTGTATACATTTGGAAGCCAGTTCTAGCGTCTATTTCAGCCCATAGAGTAGAATCTTGGATCCAAGTCAACATGGTATTTTCGTCTCCCGCTGTGAGTCTGTTGATTTTGTTGAACTATAGTTTATGTAAATTCGAAGCGTTACTACACCTGAAGGACGGCTAAATGCATATATACGTACTCTAGTAAATGGTTCGCATTTATTTGGTTCGCATTTATCGACAGGCTGTGGATAGTCGGTCTGCTTGCAAATACCACCTAAGTTCATTATACAATCAAATTGATCAATAGATTGTGGACAACAGTCGAAAACTCGTCCAACACTGCCTTCTGTTAGCTTTTCGGAATTAATAGCATGAAGAGTTTCTACGAGTTCTGTGAGATAAATGTCAAGTAATAAACTTAAATTATTACTCTTTAGCGACACTTACCAGTACTTACGATGGCGGTCACGATCTCTCCCCTTTGACCTTCATCGCGCACAGGAGTGATCACACCTTTTGTACGCCAATCGAGTGACTCAGGTAAGTTCCGAACATCAACGGAACTGTTGAATACTGTTGAATGAGACTTAACGTGAGTTTTCGCTCCAGACACAAGTTCCTGTAATGTACTTAGTTTTTCATTGATTATATGTAAAACTGAGAATTACCTCAATACGTCGATCAGTTAAATGGTTGATTGCCATTGTGCACGCTGCATCAGGATGAGTTTGTTGGTAAGAACGCATTTGATTAACATTTTCAATGAATATTTGTTTACGTTTGATTTCTTCAGACGCTGATGCATACTTTTTGTTATAGTCAAGTCTGAATTTATCCCATTCAAATGACAAATCGCTCTTAATCGCACCAAATAGAACGAAAAGAAGAATGAGCTAAAATTAAAAAAAACGTGAAAAATTGTGGATGCATAAAGCTCTCTCATATTAGCACGATTTGGATCCATTTAAAAACATCCTTAATAAAGAGGTGCTCACTTTTTAGAGTCCGTATCGAGCAAAAAGCGATTCTTTACATTCTTTAAAAATGCTCATAATAAGGAGGTTTTCATTATAGAACGATGCTCACTATAAAAGGTTTGACTATATTGGAATATCAACAGGTAATGGTAGACCTTACCTTCATTTCTAAAGTTTCAATATAACGTGTTTGTATGGAGAGATAACGATATTTAAAATGCAAAAAATGCATGCTGATAAATGATGAAGTTAAATATATTATACTGACAGAGCAGTATCGTCTTTTTTGACTCAAATTTATAGTCAACAGTCATCTTACTTATCTTTTTCATAAAAAGATGAAGAATTAAAATGTATGTACGTGTAACTACTATCCCTCTTTCTTCAGAGCGAAGGCGTGGGTGAGTCTACCAGACTATGGCGTGTTTCGATCTTTGCTGAAGAAATCGGCATCATTAAGTAATTTCGACTTTATAGTCATTCGAATGATCCGAAGATCAGAGATAGGCTATATCACCAACAAGTTCAAAGGAAACCAATAGATTCATTTTAAATAAGGTAATATGATGGCGAATCCGTTTTTGATTACTCGTTACATATAGTCACCGTTTATAGAGGTGACGTAAAAATTAAAAGAGTGGACTGCGTATAATCTCGAGGGTGTGGGAATGGGTGAGAGTGTCAGATAAAGATAACACTCACACCCACACCCACACCCTTATATAGATAATCGAATTCAAATAATCCTCAAGAAAAATATAATAATGATGACAACAATTATGTTGCTAGGGTGTGGATGCGTGGCGTGAGTAGTATATTGTAATCTCACACCCACACCCACATCCATCTGATGATTTTTCTCCCTTTAATAAGGAAGAATTCCGGAATATGGTAGTTAATTGTTTGAACACACCCACCTGAGAAATATTAGAATTTGTCAGTCATTTTTTACTTCTTCTGTGAAAGTATAAGTGTGGATGAGATATTATTACTTATAAACAGAACCTCACATATTTATCGTCACTCAAAACTATCATGAGGATATGGATTAAGATACGAATGAGGATGGTTGCAATTGTTAAATTAATTAACATCAAAGGCTATCATCTCTCCATTAAATTTTTTATTCAAAAGAAAAACAAAATATTATTTTAATTCTTTAATTCATTTATTTGATTTAGTTGCAATCAATATCGTTCGTTGTAATAGTAATGCGAACTTCACCAATATCAGGCAATATTTTACAGTTTACAGTGATGAATAATAACTTAGAATGATAGATAACGAGTGAAACGGTTTCATTAGGTGCACCTATAATATTTATAATTGCTATATGATTTATTGACTGATTATCTATTTCAATAATTCGTTGATGACTGATAGCAGTCCATTTATTCCATTCGCCAAGAAGAGCGTAAGATACATCAGACGTTAATTGAATACGAGGCGATACGTACCAAAGACACATTGATAAATCATGACATTTATTTGCTGAAACATGTAGCGGATTAGTATCATTGAAATCTAATACAACACTTGAATTATCATGTGACCAGATAACTCCCGACTGTGCTCCAATCATTGAAGGATAAACTAAGTAATCTCGTTTCATATTTGATGCAAAAATTACGTGGAATGTTTGACCATTTCTAAATACAAAAATTATAGTTAGATAATTAGAGCTGGAAAAAAATTACATTGTTGTTCTTGTTGAGTAAAGTTGACCCTGTAAGATATCATCATAAAATGCCCAATCAGATATTAATCTATTAATCATAGTCAGTGGTCGTTCAGGTTTTAAAATTAAACCATCTTGGCGACAACATTTCATGATATGTTCAACATTTGTATACTTAATTCCATCACCGGGTGCAACAGGCCCTGTTGAAAGGGTTGCAATCGCCATTTCACGCTCCGGAAGTATCTCACGAGGAAATCCTACATAGGGAGCACCTGGTTCCAATTTACTAGACCAAAATATATCTTTAAACGGTGCTAAACCAAGAGCATCAGCAAACATACTTGATATTCCAATAGCCCATTGATGTTCAAACCAACTTTCAATATGAAATGCATAATCAACTGATGTTCGTGCATGAGTAACACGTGGAATTTGTAAAGCTGTAAGAATATGACGAGGTAAACTCATACAATATTGTATATTTATTCCTACTTTGTCAGCTGCTTCACCCATAGACATTAACCATTGATGTCCAAGATGAATATCAGTACGTGTCGGTAGAAAGTCAATTGTTTGACGATCAAGCCAATCTTGTTCATAAAGAACAAGACCCCATTTATTTGCTTCAGTAAATAAATCAATCCAAAAGGAATCATTTCCAATTGGTAATGCTTTTTTATTATTTTTATCAAGAGCAAAAGAATAATTTTGTTTATAAATAGTATCATATGACCAATAACGATTGTGCGCTGCTATCGAAATATTTTCTAATCGACGATATAAAGCTTGAAGACCATCAGGAAAGATATCTGGACGAGCGGTCCATTGAGAAACACCATCATCCATACCTTTATAGTACCACCATGAATCAAGTTGAATATAATGAAATGGAAGTGGTATTTGATGACGAATATTGACTATAGTTTCTTCATAATTCATTCCTTTTTCTGTTTTATAATAATAATAAGCACCGTTGTCAGTATAATAACCAAGATAATTTATTGTAAGATCATTGACACGATGTTGACTAGTTCGATTGTATGCTTTTTGCATTATTTGACCCCATTCTCTGATACCTTGATTAATACCATTTGATGAATAAGAAATAATCATTGAATGATTATAATTAACTGGTATTGATAACATTGAACCAATAATACCATAATCTAATATATTGCGATTTGTTTGACTTAATGAAGTAGCCATAAATCGAGAAAATGGTGAAAGAACTAATATATCACCTTCTCCTTTTTGAGTTAAATTAAAAAGAACCATTGGTCCGCTTTCCATTCCTCCAGATTTAATGACTTTGCTTCGCGAATTCCATCGACCTGCATGTTTTTTGTTATTACCTACCATTTCTCCTGAAGAAACAAAGAAGAAGAAGACGAAGAAACTATTTTAAAAAAAGCACTTCCGAAAATTAATCTTTTACCTTCGAATGTAAAATAACCTCGTTCATCATTCTGATCAATTTCTTCAACATGAAATGATGGAAAAATCGTTCGAACATGATCCATATTAAGTGGAACAGTGTTTATCAAAGTTTGATTACCAGTCTCCAACTGAAATGAAATTGCTGAACTAGAATACCAGTTACGTATATGACCAACGATATCAGTATGTATTCCACCTCGAACAAGGTCATAGGTCAATTGAATATCGGTATAATTACCTAAATATGGATCAAAACCACTTCCATGACTTATACCAGTTAATGGTAGAGAATTATCATCTGATGAATACCATTTATTGTCTACATATATAGCTGTACGAGATGAACGAAGCCAAACACGATTATTAATAGTAATATTATATCCTCCCTTTCCATCAACTAATACATCTATATTACCCGAACCCCAACATCCAACTATAAGAAGCAGCAGCACTAGAACATGCATCTTCACAAATAAATTCTTTCTATGATGAAGAATAAAAACACTCTACATTTACAAAGATAATGATAATACAGAGATATCTATGTGTTCTCACCTGAAATCTAAACAGAGAATATCTTATAGACAACATGTTCTACAAAATTTTGTAATGACGTCATGGCGATTGTGATTATTAAAAGAAACATTCTATTTCATTTATATCTTATTTTTCGTTTTACAGTTAAATGTTAACATGTGTATGTTCTTGCTTCTCATATATCAAGAGATATTCGTTTTCTTTCCATATGTATCGTCTATATTCTCTTTTTTTTTATAAACTTTTAATAAACTCCTGTCAGATAGAAATGTTGAATATGCAAGTCGCATATGGAGATAACAAAAACATGAAAATAAGGTAGAAATTATATATTACGAAAGAATATATCAACATACACCTTGAAGATAGTTTTTGTTGTTGCTTACAAAGAGAAAAGAAAATTTTTTAAGATAAGTATTAGTATTGTCAGTTGAAAAGAAAATGACTTTGCTTACTACTCTTTTGAAATCAGTATAATAAAAAACTTCATTCAACTTCGTATATGAGTGTTGGATTGAAAGTATATTGTACACTCTTTTGTTGGTTTTTCTGACACAAAGTATTAGTAGCATATACATCAAAAACATAAAATGACAAGTAATCAGTACATAAACAAAGTCAGTAATTGCTATCCGATTCATCTTCTTTTACACTGGTTTTCTTTTGTCTTACGTTTACTAGAGAACAGCTGAAAATCATGATTTGAAGCCTGTACAAAAGAGATCTTGGTAAGCCTAAAACCATCTTGAGGGTGAGAGTATGAATCTTCTTTTCATTCATCTTCAATAATCATACCATTAGGCACACATCCATACTCAACGTTGATAAAGTACGGCATAAAGCAACGATCACAATTACTTTGGTAAGAAAGTATATTGTTTGTGAAAAAATCAATAAAAACAACGGAAAGATTAACTTGAATATGCTCTAGATAAGCAATGTCAAAGTAAATGTTGAGATCATCCGATTTTGAATATGTTTGCGAATGACATATTTAATGGTAATAAAATATTTGCGAACGACTTATGAAATGATAATAAAATATTAAGTGAAAAAAGTAGGCTACATTAAGTTTCTTATCACAAAAAGAATTTGAAAGAAGTTTTGATTGAGCTGCTATTGATTAGTTTCTTGATTATTAAGATTAACTTCTATTTTAATTCTAAGCGTAGATCATGAAAATTTTTATTACATTGTGGCTATGTATATCATTTATCGCGACTGAGATATGTATGGGATCATCGAATCCACTCCGACCATTTATGAATTATGAACATTCCGTAGAACTTCAGGCAAATACGGTTGATCTTTGGTGAATAGTGAATAATACTGAAAAGATGATTACATTTGAATTGCATAATAAGACTGTCGGATGGATTGCTTTTGGCATAAGTGCAGGTAGGAAATCACATAGATGATTTTATTATCTAGTTCTGATATTTTACATAACATTCAGGCGGCGGCATGAAAGGAGCTGATATAGCAGTTGAATGGGTCGACTCTTCTGGTAAAGTCTATCTTCAGGTATGACAAAAATCTTCTGTTATTACTAATGAAATATATACTGATATATCTTGTTTTATATTAGGATCGATTTGCACTCGATAAAATAAAACCAGAAATGGACAACACAACTCAAGATTGGATTGTTCTTCAAGGTCAAGAACAAAATGGATAGAGAGTTATACAATTCAAGCGTAGCTTTGATACTTGTGATCCAATGGATGTTTATATAAGAGTAAGAATATTAATGTTGTAGCTAAACTAATAGAAATATTCTATCTTGTCAAACAGTCGGGCACGAATATTATTATATATGCCTATGGTTTTGTCGATCTGGATTTATGTCAGCCAAATATCGATATTACATATCATGAAGATCGAAGAGGTTCACGTATGCTACCGCTTCTATCATATACTGATCCACCAGCAGATGAAATGTTTGCTGGACATGATTTCTTCGATTTGCGCTTCGATAATGTGCGTGATTATATATTAATTTCTTCTCTTCCTATTTCTCTATTTTTTTCTCTAGCATGTCGTCCCATCAAGAGTTACTACATATTATTGCAAAATATTCAAGACTCTAAGTAGATTTACGAAGAAAACACACGCAATTGCTGTATGTTTCACTCATTTCACGATTATTTTATATTTATTCTTGTATTTTCTCATTATTCTTGAGGGGTGGGCGTGGGTGTGTGTGGGGGGGGGTGTGTGTGTGGGTGAGTGTGAGGTAAGAACAACATCCATACCAACACCTACTCACCCACCCACACCCTTGAGATGGAGTTGACGATGATGATCGAGATGCAGATGGGCCTGTTGATATTGGTGATGAATATGCAGTTGATCATTGTGGAGATGAAATTGATGTTTTGTTGAATGATGATAATGATAGATTCAAAGTTAATGACAACGCCAATTAGGTTGTGGTTTTTATGGGGTAATTTTTTGGGTTATGTTTTGTGTGATTGTTTGGCGAATAATTGCTCTAATTGTTGCAGTAGTTTGATGTATTACAATTTGATTTGGAGCTAATCATTCCGTTGGTATGATACGCCTGATAAATAGACGATTTGTTTTGATGGAACATACATTTTGTTTCAATTTACTTGCCATGGGAAGAAAACGTGTTAAAAGAGTAACATCGCAAAGAACGTCAGATAAACCACATAGTCAATCGTTTCTTAATTATATATCGTCTGCGCAAGCAGAAGCATTGGGAAAATAAATTATTGAACATTTTGAATGCAGGAGTTTTATCAGTGAGCGGCATTTACCAGTGGAACTTACTATAAAACAATTAGAGCTTTTGAGAAGTGCCACGCATCATAATGGTAAGACACTTTTTACTTTGTAAATTATATATATTTTTTTGATTATTACAGGAGAATTTTTTAAACGCTGGATGGACTGCAAAATGAAACCAGAAGATATTATTAATTTACCGAAATATCATTCAAAACTAAAGATTTTTCGATCGTCACAACAATGGACATCTATATCAAAAGATATTTATGAATATTGTGAATCAAATGATATTGATGAAATTACTGTTTTTATTCACCATATCAGCTTACGTGAAATGGAAAAGTAAAACAAACTTCCGTTACTGTCTATATATGCTGGGGAAAATCAAAGTATGATTTTATTTGAAACGAAATTTAAATAAATGGGAAAACCTCGGATTTAAATCCGAGTGTTATGTGTACTCAAACAGGGACAAAAGATATTCACTTTGTTTTTTATTATTATTTAACTTAGATACAAATGACATTTGTCTAAAATCTAAGAGATTCGCTTGATTAAATTCAAATTGCATTTTTACTGAAAGATATTTGATTAACATTATTATTAATTAAAACTTTATCGTATTTTGAATAAAATGATATAATTCTATGTTTATCTAATAAATAAAAATAGCGATATTCGTTTTGCATCAATGATAATAAGTATTTTTTTTATTCTTATTTTATCGAAAATCTAATCATTCAAAAGGTTCTTATCGTTCTTTTTCAAATCTATTTCAATTTAAAAAAGTAAAATGAGATGAATGATATGTTTGTTCAGATCCTTGAGAACATGCGGAAATTGGTTTAGTTTTTGAACTAACTAATGTTCGAATAAATTTTTCATTTGAATATAGTGATGAAAATTGAAGTCTTTCAAATATAATTCTTTTCAAAAATGGAATAATCTCACTTGTTTTCTAAGATCTATTATGATTTATTCTATTTAATGATAAATATGTATCTGATCGATTATATAAACCTAATGAAACTAACATTAATGGTAACATTTTTCTATGAGTTTTTAATAAATAAATATTTTTATTGATTTGTTTGCTCAAAAGCAGAATCAATCACTGACTAGAGTATTGAAATTGGTCATAGTACTTGTATTCGTATTTATTTTGGTTTAATTTTTGTGTCATATTAACCCAGGGCGAACCTGCCCAGCAGGATCGCGTCGGATTCCCGAACAACCCGACAACCGGATCCGTCAGGATTCCGACTGGCGGATTCCCCATTATATCCATCAACTTCCGACATTTTCTGATAGTCGGATCCTGCAGGATTCCGATAGTAGGATCCAACATTTTCCGATAGCTGGAACTTATTGGATCCGGCATCATCCGACTGTCTGAACGTATCGGATTCGACAGTATAAGAAACCATCGGCTATTATCAATGCCACCTTCATTAAATTATATTCATAACACTTTTCTGACGCACTTTATTCAATAACAAACTGATCATAACTGAAGGTTATTAGATTAACGTAGATTCGTGAAAAGTAAATTTTGATTGTATCTAAACAGATCAAGCGTCTAAAACTATAGCGACATCTATTGAGATCATTTCTAGTCGATAAAGCAACTGTATAACCGTCCGTATGAACAATGGTTTGTACTGTATAGTTATTTTAAATATATTATCTTGTACTTTTGAGAAATTAGTATAATATTGTCTTTGCAATAAATCTGTATATTATTGCATCTTTCTTAGTAAGAAAGGTGTGGGTGTGGCGGTATACAAGGTGAAAGAGATGATATACACCGACACCGACACCCTCACCCACCAACACCCACACCCACACCCACTAGTTCAAATAATCGTTAATACGAAATGAACATTTGTTCCAACTCTTTTTGCAAACCACTGTATTTTGCTCGGGATGAATATTACCTCAATATTATGGATAAATACAGATTTCTTTTATAGATTTAATCGTACTGTTCAAATTCTCAAGGAAAATAAAGTTTTATATACCGTGGTAAACTTGCATACAACTGCATCTTTCTTCATGCTTATTTATTTATTGGTAATATCGAATGTTTTACAGCATTTTTTTTTGTTATTTTTATTATTGGATTGATAATGGAATATCATTTGATTCATTATTATTTACTTTTGAATCGTTTAATATTCGAAATATTGCTTGGTAAACATCTTAATGTGTTATTCATGTTTAATGAGGCAAAATCATTCATATAGCCCGTGGTTTGATTATATATGATTATCGTCAATAGAATCCTTGATTTACTATGAAAATAATTTTTTTCTCATTTTCATGGTGAATTAAACACTCTATTGACAATAATCGCATATAATGCAACGACGGGCTACATGAGCAAATAAACATTTTCATATTCTAATAAAAATGGCGTCTTTTGATTTGTTTTTTATATGAAACTTTTATACACTGAATTCATTCGCTCAAATATAATAATGATACATTCATATTACGTTCGATGGTTATTGTTTTACATTCTACATATTCAATATTATGCAATGGCAATATGGCCACCAACAAGCACCTCTAATGCCACCCTATTAGGTCTCTTTCCAAACGCAAGAAATGCAAATGAAACTTCAGAATTCTCTGTTCATTCTCGTGCGATGTTTCAAGCAGCTATCATACTTTCCCAACAATATAATATCACTATTGAAGGTCAACTCATACAATATCAATCAGTACAAACTGATGGAGATGTAATTAATATTCTTAGTCAAACATGTCAAGCAGTTTCTTCTTCAAACATTCTTGGTATTATTGGTCCAGCATATTCTCAAGATGCTCATCAAGTTGCTACTTTCGCTAAAAAAATTGGTATACCTGTCATTTCATATTATGCAACTGATCCTGCACTCTCAGATCGTTATACTTATCACACTTTTTATCGAACAGTTCCTTCGGATAATACAGCTGCCCTCGCAATTACCAAATTATTTCTTCGATATAATTGGACATCATGTGTCATTATTTATCAAAACGATGCATTTGGTGAAGGTGGAGCGAAGATTATCAGTGAAACATTTACTAAATATAATCTCATCGTTCGAGATTCTGTTATCTTCGATATTGTTACATTAAAGATTAAAGATGATTTAAAAGGCACTCTAAGAAATAGTGCAACTCGAATTGTTGTTCTATGGGTTTCTGCACAATTTATACAATTAGTTTTACAAAATGCTCTTGATTCTGATGTTCTTGGTCCACAATTTACATGGATAGTTCGTGCAACTGTTCCACTTACTTCATTTAATCGATCATTGTATGACAAATTAGTTGGTATGTTGAGTATTGAACCTGTTACAGGAAGTATCGTTGATGCACCAACCAATACAACATTGTTAAACGCTGCCTATCAACTTTGGCAACAATATGAACCAGAAACAGTTCCTGATCCAACCAAAGTCAACCCATATGCATTATTTGCATTTGATGCTACATGGTCATTAATTCTATCATTACAAAAGCTTTGTGCCACAACTCAAAATCAGTCATGTTTATCATTTACTGGATCATCATATTGTTTTGATCGTCACTTTATTCATTCTAACTCACTGTTGAATACAATTAATTCAATAGAGTTTGTTGGAGTTTCAGGTCCTATACGATTTAGTGAAAATACAACTGATCGAATCAATGGTTCATATTATTATGCACAAAATATTCAATTCAGTGCAAATGATATTCTTTTTGCTCCTGTGTTAAAATATGCATATCCATATGATTGGACAGGATATTCACTGGCAGGAGCGAATATTATCAGTTGGCCAGGTAATTCATTGACTATTCCAACGGATCAAGCAAAACTTGCAGGCGTTACTTTACGGATTGCTGTATTGGAAACACCACCATTCACAAAGCAAGATACTACCATAGATTCATCTGGAAAAAATGTAACAAAATTAATTGGTTATCTACCTGATTTAATCGAACTTCTACGTAGTCGCATGGGATTTATTCCAGATATTCGAATAGTACCGCCAAATATGACTTATAATCAGTTAGTTCAGTTAGCAGCCGATGGTGTTTATGATATTGTCGTTACTGATCTAGCAATTACTAGTGCACGAAGAGAAATTGCTGGATTTTCTACTCCTATATTTGATCATGCACTATGTATTATAATGCGAAAAGAATCTGCTACTAAGATTGAATTATTATCATATTTAAAACCATTTTCACGAAATCTATGGTTAATGGTTTTAGGTGCATGTGTTTTAGCAAGTATTTCACTTTGTCTACTAGAGAAACAGGACAATGACTCATTACAAGAACGATCAATTCCTTCTGCAGGTTTAATGAGTTTATGGTATTCAATTGGAACAGTAATGGGATATGGAGTTGATTATCATGTGAAAACAGCTGCTGGACGATTGTTAACTATTGGTTTATATCTGTTATGTTTAGTCTTAGTGGCATCTTATACTGCTAATTTAGCATCTGATTTAACAATCAAGAAGTCGCAAAGTATTATTGAAGGTCTTGATGATATTATAAAGGGAAAAATTTCATTTAATCGTATTGGTATTCTCTCAGGTTCGGCTCATGTAGATTTTTACTTACGAGAAGTCTCTAATGGAAATCGAAATTTTTATCCAATAAAAAGTATACAATATTTATACGGTAGTTTATTCTTAAATACTATTGATGCTGCTTTCATAGCTATGCCTAGTGCACAATATGTTACCAATAATATTTATTGTAATTTAACAATAGTTGGACAAGGTTTCAATAAGGGTGTAATTGGTATTGTTACACCTAAACAATGGTTATATGCTAAAGATTTAGATGTTAATATTTTAGCATTAAGAGAAGCAGGTGTGTTGGAAAATTTAAGAGCAAAATGGTTCGAATCTAGCACGTGTCCGGCAACAGAGGAAGAGTCTACTGCATTGGGAATTGATTCAATGAGTGGATTATTTCTTACATTTGCAATTATCTGGATTTTATCATTATTAATATTTATATGGAAAAAACGATTTATTTGCAAAAAATGTCGATGTTTATTAAAACTTCGAAAGAGATTGTTTTTCAAAGGAAGAATTCAGAGGATAAGTCCTCCTAATAACAATCAAAACTCTGTATCTTCTCCATCTAATATCTGAAACGTTTGAATCTCCTGTATGGTATTGACATTAAAGTTATTGTATTTTTCATTCATAAGATTTTCATTTTCGCTTATTACAGGGTAAATCCATGAGGACCCATCCACTTTTTGGAAAGCTTTTATTTTTTTATTTTTTTTGCCTTCAAAATATCAGTATGGTCTAGAAAACACTTTTGGTGAAAAAAAATAAGTACTTTCTATTAAAAATCTCGAGTTTTCGAGCATTTTCTTGGAACACCTCTAGTGTACTTTTATATATAGGTAAGATGTCATAAAATAGGATAGAAACTTTTTAAAAACAATTTTTTCGAATTTTTTTGGTTTTCAAAACTATGAACAAAGTCTAAAAACATGTTTTCTGAGATACATCAGACCGGTCCTATTGAAATTATAGAATGCTGAATGATTTTCTTTTAAATTGCAACGCCCATATTTCGTCAACTTGAATTGTATTCAATTATTTTGAATAGTTTTATTTTCTTCTCCTCGTATAAGGGTGTGAGTGTGGGTGTGAGTATCTTATTATCTTTATATGCACATCCACACCCACACCCTCAACTCTCTCTCTCAGTTGCTTTTCTCCTAAAAATTACACCTAAGCTATTTTAAAGTATATGTTTTATTCCCTCGACTGTAGAGAGGGTTGTATGAAATGAAATAGTTTGTTTGTGGGTTTGTGTCAAAGGTGAAAAAAACATCTACTTCGAAATATAGCACCGGTGGTCTAAAAAAAGAGTCGGTTCGGGTGGAATAGGGTGGGTGTGGGTGAAATGGGTAAAAAGTGGGTATTTTGGGTGGAAGTGAGTGAAATGGGTAAAAAGTGGGTATTTTGGGTGAAATGGGTCCAAAGTGGGTGTTTTGGGTGGGAGTAGGTGAAATGGGTAAAAGAGTGGGTATTTTGGGTGGAAGTGGGTGAAATCGGTCAAAAGTGGGTAAAATGGGTTAGAAGTGGGTGAAATGGGTGAAATAAGCCAGAATTTGGTGGACGTGGGTGGAAGTGGGTGAAATAAGTCAAAAGTGGGTAAAATGGGTTAGAAGTGGGTGGAAATGGGTGGACGTTTGTGGAAGTTGGTGCAATAAGTCAAAAGTGGGTGGAATGGGTCAGAAGTAGATGGAATGGGTCGAAAGTGAGTAGGATGCGTGAAATAGGTCAGAAGTGTGTGAAATGGGTCAAGAATGGGTGGAATGGGTCGAAAGTGGGTGGAATGGGTGAAATTGGTATGAGAGGTTGGTGGAATAGGTCGAAAGTGGATGGAAGTGGGTCGAATGGGTCGAAAGTGGGTGAAAGAGATCAGAATTGGGTGAAATGGGTCATGGGTGAGTGGAATGGGTCGCAAGTGGATGGAAGTGGGTGGAATGGGCCGAAAGTGGGTGGAATTGGTCGAAAGTGGGTGAAAGAGGGTAGGAATGGGAAAATCAGGGTGGAATGGTGTATTTTTTGGTGGGTGTGTCTGTGGGTGTGCGTGTTGGTGAGTAGGTATCGGAGACGTAGCGAGTGTAGATGGTTAAGAGTGTTGGTGTCTGTGGATGAGTTCATGTAAGTGCAGCATCGAGTGAGGTTGTTGAATGAGTGCGGCTGTGAGTGGCTGGGTGTCAGCGTGTATTTTGTTCTGATTTATTAGCGAGATCTATAGTTACATCGAAATTTTCAGTTACACCCAGTCCTATACTCTTACAGTCGAGGGTGAATGAGTCGAGACGGCGAACGTTACTTGTTTTTAAATGGGTATATAAATGATATACTAATATTATAAAGAATCAGCAAGTCCAGTTACAAGTTCATCAGCAGTATGAAAAGTTAGTGCAAATTGTTCACTGACGAGGGAACCTCCCCAACTGTCGGAGAGCTTTGAAGTTCGGGTCCCGTTCGTTAAGTAGATCCTAGTGAGGTATGAAAAACTCCAAAACGATAAGAGCCCATAGGCCTTCTGTCCCGAGTTATAGGCGATATACTGAAATTTCAGCCTATGGCAGGGTATGTAGAAATAAATCGAATGACGGTATTTTGAACTGAGATTTTGCCCACAGAGAGGTCTATATGGGACTAGAATACCCTAAAAATTTCAGCTCAAAAAAACGTTTCCTTCTCGAGATATCAAAGTCTCCAAAAACAGAGAATTCTAGTATCTTTCGTGGGATATACGTGATTTTTTTAGACTTTAATACCTCGAGAAGGAAACGTTTTTTTGAGCTGAAATTTTTAGGATATTCTAGTCCCATATAGACCTCTCTGTGGGCAAAATCTCAGTTCAAAATACCGTCATTCGATTTATTTCTACATACCCTGCCATAGGCTGAAATTTCAGTATATCGCCTATAACTCGGGACAGAAGGCCTATGGGCCCTTATCGTTTTGGGGTTTTTCATACCTCACTAGGATCTACTTAACGAACGGGACCCGAACTTCAAAGCTCTCCGACAGTTGGGGAGGTTCCCTCGTGAGTTGACATAAACCTTCGTACAGAAAACACAGAATACCGATTACTTCTGCTTTCGAAAAATTACTGCGAGCTATGTAAAAATGTCCTTCATGAAGCGTAAGTGTCAGTTGTAGAATAAGAGTATTCTTCGATCGACTTTCGTTGTATACAGTCTTTCGTTCTTTGTCTAATAGTATTAATTCGAATTCACTGAAATTGAGTAAAGTCTTTCTAAGCAATTTCTGTATTGCTTTCTCCACACTTGGAGCTTCGCTAATTGGTAATGGATATTTGTTAATAATCATGTAACGCAATACTGTAGTGTCGTGTCGTACGTCCCAAGATTCAGCACAAATTTGCTGCATTTCATATTCAAGAAACTGGACTTGACTTTTCGCTTCAACGATTTTCTCAAATGTTTGGTGTTGTTTCTTCGCAATAATATCAGAATCGAGAGCTTTTTGACTGATTGCAGATTCCCTATGGAAAGCAGTTGACTTTCTAAAATAGGCTGTAAATTGTCGTAGTAGAGGTTCTCTAAATGTATGAGAAATTTTACAAAAAATGAGTTCTTTGTAGCGATCTTCGATATCTTTTGTCCGAACTTTAAGCCACGTGTTTTCAAATAGTTCATCAGAGTTAACACTGGAATGTGATGTTGAAGTTATGCTTGAATCAGTATTGTCGTCAGAATCGGTTGCATTGTCAGAATCGACTACGTTGTCAGATTCGAAGTTAGATATAGATTTAGATGAAGAGCTATCAAATAGTTCGCCTGGTTTAAAACTTGTATCATACTTCTCTTCTTCATCCGATACGTTGGTTTCAAATGTATTACATGTTCTTTCGACCAATTTCTGCAAAACCTTAGATTCCACGTTGAAGATCTGCTCTTCCAAACGACGGATTGTAGTTGTTAGCAGTTGCGGTCTTCGATGCATTGGCTTAGTGCTAAGCAAAAGTTTTAACGTGGTGTACAGCTCTGATTCAATTTTTGGCATATAAGAGGGTGTGGGTGTGGGAGTGAGTGTGAGTATCTTATCATCTTTCTGTTCACCCACACCCACACCCATCCTGCAACTTCCGACAGGCTCCGACGAGATCCGGGATCTGGATTACTCGTCCTGGGAATCAATGGCAACTAATACTGAAAACTCACTTGATGGTGAATCAGTTGTTATCGACAATAATGAAGGAACAAATAGTGAGAGTAGTCGAACAACTACTCGTATTAAGAGCACGGTTTTTGTTTCGAATAATCATCCATTAGATGTTATTGGTAATACATCTTTAATTTAAAAAATAAAACAAATATTTTTATTATTAGAAAAAGGCGTTCACGGTAGTTTTGTTACCGTAAATCAATCTAAGCATTTTGGTTTTATCAAGCGGTAATTATGATCCTTCGTTTCTGTTATTTTATTTTATTTAAAAGAAATTTTTTGTGGGTGACAAGTGCCGTTTTGATCTCATAAAAAGTGAGTTATTTAACTCTAGCCATAATATAAATAAATAATATCTTTTTGTCTTACAGCTCCTCGTGGCTATGAGGCCATAAATATTGATATTATCGAAAGAAATATCAATTCTATTAACAAGTTAGGAAAAATTTCGAAGAAAAAAGATACAAAGCCAAAACAAACAGAAATATCTGGTGATTTATTCCAGTCTACATTGCAAGTGTGATTTAATTTATTCTTGATTATATGTAAATTAAATTGTATTATATTGTAGGACAATGTTTTTTCGTGAAGCTATAAATAAAAAGTAAATTTTGTTAATAGTCAAGTGATTAATACAACTACAAAATTAAAAACACGTTTGTTAAGATTTTAACAGCTGAACAAAATAATTTTGTTAAAAATGATCTTTTATCGTAGAAAATTGTGAAAAATATTTTATCTTTTGCTTAATAAATTTACATACAGTAGAGTGAAAAAATAATTACCAATAGACTTTTCAAAGTTCTTCTCATAGAAGTATAAAATATTAAGACTTTATTTTATTATACTATACAAACACTATGCTCTATAACTATATTAATCATTAGAAATTCCGCCCTCGCTGTGAATTTATATAAGACAATAACTGTACATCCTTGGAAGCAATTAAAAAACTTACAGATTATACATGAATTTCGGTACACTTTTCGTCTTAGAATCTTTTCGGTTCATTGATATCTGGACGTTTTTCATTTGTGTCAGTTGATTAAATGATCAGGTAGTACTATTTAACTAGTTTGAAACTCATGCTATCAAGTATTCAAATAATAATTTCATGCACATAGGGCTGGCAAGTCACTTTGTTAGCCTTACCATGACACGATACTAAGCTCCTCGGTCTTGAAAATTTTATTATAACTATTGTAAGTAAGGGTCATCGTTACACAGTAGTTTTAAACTTCTTTCTAGCGGTCATTACTTTAATAATGTAACACGATTTATTGGTCAATATATATGCAACTGGTGCTTGAGTTATGAGTCATTTTTACGCAGCTGCATCCCAGTTTGTAATCAATACTAGCCTCACTGATTTCATAGAAGTAGTACCTAACGTTTACAAATAATTTCAGAAAAACTGCTCGACGAATGTACAAAACAGCTTTTAAAAAGTCTAAGTAACAAACGGCAATTGTTTTGGTCATCGGGGATGGTAGTGGAACGTGGGTGGAATTTCACCCAGGTGGTTCTATGATAGCTAACGTCACCAAACCGTCTATGACACTTCTGTATGTACGAGGAAAAGTGGAGAGGGGGTCGGATACGGAATGTGCTTCAAATTGAACTATTTTGTAGCGGAAGCTGCACGAGAAAAGTTTTGCAGCGGGAACGGTACAAGAGGGATTTTGCTGCAAGAACTGTGCGAGAAGGTTTTTGTAGAGGGAACTGTACGAGAGGGATTTTGCAGCGAAAACTGTACAAGAAGATTCTGACAGCGGGTACCTCCGCTAATACTTAGTACAAAGAGAAATGTTTCTTACGAATACTTATTTGTTTTCATTCATACAGTGAGCTAGATAAAAGAAAATCTATACAAAACAAACGGGAATTTAGTTGAGTAATTATTTTCATTGCTAAATAAAATTGTTTATATTGGAAAGTTTAAATTATTTGTTTGTTTTGCTTTTTTCAGATTTCACTATTTTCAAATGAATAATAAAATATTAATTAAATTTTTGGTTAAAAACAAATTACTGATCTTTCGATTTTGTAAAGTTTCTTACTTCGAATCGAGTATATTTTCATTAGTTTTAACGAAGATTTGACTCGAAAGAAACGTTTGCATTGTTTATCTCACTAAGTAGAGACTGTATTTAACGTATACATGCGCTGAATCTAAGTGAGAAGCTTGTTTTTCGAAAAAATGCCGAAACTAAAACAAAGATCTATATCTTAAAGAAATGTCGAGAGAGCAAAGATAATGAGAGAAAGAAGAGCAAGCGATGAATTTCGTTTGTTGGACAATAGACCACGAGCAAAATCTTGGAAAATTGCACGACAAAATAATAAATTTAAAATCCAGAAAAATGAAAGAAGAGCAGACGTTCATAAAATTGAACGACAGGATGATGAATTCAAAGCAGAAGAAAGAAGAAGAAATGCATTAAGAATGCATAGTACTAGAGATAAATATAAAAATAATTTTGATGCTATAAAATCAAATTATGAGTCAAAAATAAAAGAAGGACCTACCGATATTTGTAGTTGTTGCGGTGGTTTATGGTTTGCGTATTCTATCAGAGAATATACAGTTGAAATGTTAGCAAAAAAAGGATTAAAAAAAGAATTTATCGATACAGTTTGTTGTCTAAAACATGCAATTATTAAATTATGTGCTACTTGTAGAAAGGACATCATGTCGAATAAAATACCTAATCTCGCTCTGTCTAATAGTTTGGCATTCTATGAAATACCGGATTGTTTGAAAATCTTGACTGAATTAGACGAAAGATTAATATCACCAAGGATTCCTTTTAAGGTAATTCGAACTTTAAGTTTTTCTAAACAATTTGGTCTCAAAGGTAATTTAGTAAATGTTCCCATGAACGTCGACACAAACGTTTCAATATTACCCAGAAGTTGTAGTGATACTTACACGATTCAATTGAAACTGATGAGACAAATGAAAAATAAAAATGCTTTTATGTATGAAACAATTCGACCAAAAGTAGTACATACAGCTGTTAAATACCTTGTTGAACAGGAACTATATAAAGATGAAGGTATTGTTATATCTAATGATTGGATTAACGAATATCCAAATGAAAAAGAAAATTTCATAGTCAAAAACGAAGATAAAAAGTTAAATGAGACTGGAAATGCGGCAGAAGATTCAGATCATGATGATAATTGGAATGAATGTGACGATAAACCAATTAATCCAGTAACTACTGAAACGTTGTTGAATGATGAGACCGAGGATCAAAATGATACTGGTATTAAATTTGCTCCAGGAGAGAATAACAGACCGATATCTGTTTTAATGGATTTGAAAGTCGATGAGTTAACATTTCCAAAAATCTATTGTGGAAAACAACAAAAAATTAAAGAAAATGTCAAACTAACGTATGCTAAAATTGCTAAGTCAGAATTAAGAATGTTTGATAGAAGATGTGGTAGAGTATCAAAACTCTTTTTCACATATAAGAAACTACAAACGAGAAAATTCGTTAATGCTATTTCAATAAATTTGCGAAAAACAAAAAATACGAAAAACGTAACTGTTAACCAAATGCTTAATCGAGATTATGTAAATGGATTAGTACATAATGATGATGCTTTTGCATTCTTGAGATTTGATCGATCTTCATCAGCATTCTGGGAACTAAAAAAGAAAGAACTTATGGCCATGAATAGGCAATTAGAATGTACAACAGTATTTTTAACATTATCAGCAGCTGAAACACAGTGGTCAGAACTTCTTGTCATATTGACTCAAGTGTTAGAAAATAAAGTAATAACATTAGAAGAAGCACAAAATTTGACCTATGAGAAGAGATGCGAATTGATAAGACAAGATCCAGTAACATGTGTTCGCTATTTTGAACATAAATTAAAATGTTTATGGGAAATATTATCAGCTGCTTGTGGTCCATTTCAACGATATGAATTAGTAGACAAATATGTCAGAACTGAATTTCAAGTTCGTGGTTCACTACATGTTCATGCTTTATTGTGGTTAAAGAATGCTCCAAAATATGACAAAAATAATCCTGATCAATTGAAAGATGTGTAGAATTTATCGATAAATTGATTTCGGTTAGTTCTCAGCCAACGGAATGTTCTGAAGAACTTATCAGTTTACAACGTCATAAGCACTCACATACTTGTAAACAACATGTAAACGGTTGTATAATATGTCGTTTTGGTATTCCATATTTTCCGATGAGTAAAACGATGATATTAGAACCATTTAGTGTTGATGAAAAGCTCTCTAAAAAAGAACGTGAAGAGATAAGTAAGAGTAGATAGAATATCAAAAGATAAAGACACTTCATTAACTTTTGAAGAATTTTTGAAAAAAATTAATATGAATAAAGAACAGTATATTAAAATGATTCGAGCTGGATTGAAAAAGACGAAAGTATTCTTAAAACGTGCTCCAAATGAGACCCGAATCAATGCATACAATCCAATGATAATGTCATTGCACAGAGCAAATATGGACATTCAATATATTCTTGATCCTTATGCATGCTTAAAGTACTGTGTTGAATACATCAACAAATCTGAAAATGGAATGTCCAAGCTTCTAAGAGAAGCATTGAACGAGTTAAAAAAAGGCAATCACACAGTCAAAGAACGTCTTAGAGTTATTGCAAATAAGTTTTTGAATTCAAGTGAAATTTCAGCACGAGAAGCTGTTTATCATATTTTAAGTATTCCACTTTCCGTCAGTAGCAGGAGTACTGTATTTATTAATACAAATAGACCCGAAAATAGAATTTCTATGCTAAAATCAGATGAAATTCTTCAGAAACTGGAGCCTGATTCAAAAGATGTTTTTGTTGAAGGTTTAATTGACATGTACGTTAATAGACCAGACGAAATGAAAGACGTTTTTTTAGCTGATTTTGCTTCCTTGTATAACGTGTCAAAGAGAAAAGCAAATAATGCTCCAATTGCAGAAAATTCTGATGATGAGGATGCTACTGAAAATGAAAATGATGAAAAAATTACTGCTTTCCGAATGAAAAATGGAAAAGGTTGGATCAAAAAAAGAACAAAGAAAAAAATAATAAGATATAGATACTTTAAGTTACACCAAGATCCTGAAAACTACTACAGAGAGAAGTTGATGCTATTTTTGCCATGGAGGAATGAAGAAGAAGACCTTCTTTCTATAAACCATGAAGAGACATTTGAATTACATAAAGATATAATTCAACAGAAAAGATCTGAATATGTTCATCGTGAAGCCAGTGAATTTGAGAAAGCTTTTGAAGAGCATATGGAAAGAGAAGATGAGAGCGATATTGATGATACAAATATTGAATATGATCAAGATAAGAATGAGTTCCTCATTTATGAAATAGGAAACAATGAAGGCGATATCTTTGTTGAAATGGGACTAAAGACCCAAACTGAAAAAGTTGAGAATTTTAATGTTCCCAAAGTAATACCAGATACTGAATATCAGCAAATGATGAGAAGTCTCAATAATAATCAAAGAAAATACACATTGAATGTGATGAATTTGATAAAAAATGGAGATAACCAATTTTTCATTTTATTAGTGGCGGTGCAGGCGTTGGGAAAAGTACTTTGATCAAAGCAATATATCAGTCGATACTGAGATTTTATAATTCTGTTCTTGGATGTAATCCAGAAACTATTTGTACTGCACTCTGTGCGCCAACTGGTAAAGCTGCAGCACTAATTGATGGAATGACGTTGCATTCATTTTTAAGTTTACCAGTTAATCAATGCAAACATAAACTCGTTCAGCTAAATAGCGATATTTCGAATAGAATAGGAGTGAAATTGAAAGACTTGCAATTGTTAATAATAGACGAAATATCAATGGTTGGTTTTACAATGTTTCAACACATAGATGCACGTTTGCAGCATATAATGAGAACAAAAAAGCCATTTGGTGGAATATTAGTTATGGTTTTAGGTGATTTCAATCAATTAAGACCAGTTGGCGATAAATACATATTCCAATTTAATAATTCATATAATGCTCTAGTAGATAGTTCATTATGGTCACTATTTGAATTGTTTGAATTGACAGAAATAATGAGACAAAAGGATGATAAAACTTTTGCCATTGCATTAAGTAACTTAGCTAAAGGAACGATGACAGCTGAAGATATTCATCTGTTAAGGTCACGAATTGTTTCAACTGAAAATTTAGAAACCATTAGAGATGCAATAAGACTATTTAGAAGTAATGCAGAAGTCGATGCATATAATAGAATAGTATTGTCTAGGCTTAATACTGAAGGTGCAATCGCTAATGCTTATGATTATTGTGTTGGTGATGGACTTGCATCAATAAGAGAAAAAGTTCTAAATAATGTAAAGAATCTGAAAACAACTGAAACTTACGGTTTACCACTTGAAATTGATTTGAAAGTGGGCGCTAAGTATATGATGACAGTGAATATTGATACTGAAGATGGATTAGTAAATGGTGTTTGTGGAAAATTGATAGCGATTGATTATGGAACACTTCAGAAGACAAATTAGACAGTACCATGTCTATTATGGATTAAATTTAGTGAGGAAAAGACTGGAAGAAAGGCTAGAGCTAACTTTCATAATGTAATGCGAAATAGAAATATTGGTCTCAATCTCACACCAGTTGAACCAGTAGTACGACAAATAAATACAAGATCAACTAATTTCAAAGTAGAACGTAAACAGTTTCCTTTAGTTCCTTGTGAAGCTATGACTATATATAAAAGTCAAGGTGGTACTTATGAAAAAGTTGTTGTCAATCTAAAGAAAGGGATGACAAGATCTGAATTATACGTCACTTGTAGTCGTGCAACAAAATCAATTGGTTTATATTTAAATGGCGATTTTGTTCCACCAAAACCACCTGAACCTAAAGATGCAGTAGCGATGATGTATATAAATATGAGATCTGAACGAATGCTCAAATTTTCACTTGAATTTCCTGGAGAATCTCAAGAAGAACGATTTTTCGTGATATTTCATAATGTACAATCGTTGAATAAACATATTTTCGATGTCAGATCTGATAAAACATTTTTGTCTGCTTCCATGATAAGTCTTGTTGAAACATGGACAAAACCAAGTGACTGTTTGGAGATTGAAGGTTTCAAAATAATTCACAGACGTGATTGTAATGATATACGAAAACCATTCGGTCAAATTACTTATTTAAAAAATGATTTGAAATATAAAAATATCACCGAAAAATATGAATATTCCTCAATAAAAATTGATGATATTTGTATTATTTCCGTTTACAATTCACCCAATTCATCATTTGATGTCTTAAAGCGACATATGAATGAAGCGATAACTATTTCAAAAGGATTTTGTGAAAATATAATTGTCGTTGGTGATTTTAATATAAATTTGAAAGTCAAAACCAATAACAAATTTATTGAATATATGAAATCATTCGGATTTAATTTGATAAACAAATTAAACAAAAGCTCAACTAATGCTAAAACTCAGATTGACTATTGCTTTACTAATGCCAATGACTTGAAATCTGATTATTTTGAAAGTCTTACAAGTTTTCATAAACCAATATGGATAAGAAAACATGAAGTTTTGACTAAGTTTCATTTTGATGAAACCGAAGACATTCATACAAATACACTTTTCAATATCGATGATGCTATAATTGATGATCAATCTGACGTGATGGAAGTCGACGAGGAATTCTCTTTCGATCATCATGCAACAGTCGATAAAAACGAACAAATCGACTTAGATATGTCTTTTCAATTGGAAGATCTTAAAGTTAATGATCCATCTGATATGATGGAAATTGAAGAACAATCTTTTTCCGAAGACTACAAAATCATAGATTCAAAGTCAAGAAAGATTCTAAATCACTTTCTTTGTGCACTTGAGTTTGATAATATTACAGATTCTAGTCAAATTACTAGTCAAGCTCAGATAATCAATGACTTGATTAAAAAATTACCATTTATAACTATATATAATAGAGACAAATCCGTTCGGTTAATATCACCAGAATATCCTGTTCAAGCGTTCGATTCAGTTTATGCTAGAACTCGCACGACTGCAGATGGCAATTGTTTATATAGTTCCCTTTCTATATTGCATATAGGATCTGAAAAACTAACTCATTCGATGAGATTGTTGGCAGTCAATGCAATGCTGAATAATAGCGATTATTTTCAAAGACTTTGTACAGTATTGTGGTATTCATTTGAGGAACAGTTGATAAAAACTGCTACGAATACAAAATGGGGTGGAGAAGTTCAAATTCAGGCGCTCTCTATAGCTCTCTCTCATCCTATCTATTCATATATTAAGTTTATTAACGATCCAGAACGTACACAATATATTCCATCGAACATTAGTCTACAGGAATTAATCGATCGATTTAATAAAGGGACAGCAGGTGGTCATCTAAAATATACAGGATACAAATCCGACAGGAATAAACTAGGATTTTGTGTTTACTATAATGGTATTCATTATGATGCTCTTTTACCCTTTCGAAATAATCCTCAACAGTTTGTACCGCACTTTGATATAATTAACATGAGTTTATAAAAAGAATCACGACTCTGCTAACGCAAAGAAGTTTTCATTTATGCGAATAAATATAGCTTCCGGAACTAACTCCTCGCCGCGTCCTACGGGACAAAAGCAGGGCATCCGCAGGGCCTAGGGGGCAGTTCCTTAGTGCGCTCAAGGATGAATTACATGAGACAAATTGGCTTTAACTAATTTGTAGCCAGATACACTTTTTGTAGTACACATAACACTCGGATTTCAATCCGATGTTTCCATATTTATTTACCTATTAGAAATGAAAATGATATAAAAGAACCATTTAGTAGTTTTTTTCAAAATGAACATATTACATTATCTTTTGGAGAAACAAAATCTGTTAAAGCAATAGTATTATCAAATAGAGATCGATATGAAAGTAAAATTTGTAAACAACTTGAAGAAGCAATGAATGATTTATGTGAAAATAATATATCAACAGATGCATGGGGTGTTCTTTGTGCAGAAGCTGAATTGGAAAAGGAAGAGATATCTGATAATATAATTATTAAATATAAGAATTTAACAGATTTAGATAATGATAAAAATCCAGATATTGAATATATGTTGGAATCTAAAAAGAAAAAAAGAAATCAAGAAAAAAAATTATATGAAATTCATTCAATTGTATATGATTGAGGGTGTGGGTGTGGGTGTGGGTATGGATATAAAAAGAGTATGACACCCACACCCACATCCACCCTCAAGATGGTAACTTGACGAGCTCTATCGAATGATATCGTTGGGTTTTTGATAGAAGAAAGTATAGTCATAAACATCAAAATATACGTATTGTAGGGTAGGATTCAAGGACGCACTGTAGTAAAACTTGTTCTAATTCGCTCAGGAAATTGTTTGACGATTCGTAACCCAATTCCTAATGCAATACATTAAGCTGTATCTAGTTATATGATCGGTGTATAGAATGCAAGACAAATTAAATTGTTTTCTTCTTTCGAAATAACTAACTTTGAAATCAAATGTTCTATCAGTTGAGAATAAAAGTTCGACTTTTTTCTTGGTATGTCACTCGGTTGATCGTATTGATTATGTTACTGATAATGAACGATATAGAAGAGACTGAGTCGACAAAAGAAATATCCGAATTCGTAGCATTAGCTCATTGAAATAATGCAATTTCTTTAAACTGATTTTGCAACTGGAAAATCGACGATTTAGGTTTGAAGAATATTATTTTTACAATTTGATTCTGTAAAATATTCAGAACGAACGATGTTTTTCTGGAATTTGAATTGGGCTTGTTTTATTGTTTCTGATGTTAGAACATTTTACATCAAATTAACTTTGACTTTTCTTAATTCAATGTATAAAATTAATTCTCGCTTTTCTTTTAATAATTTTTTAATTTCATCAAATGAAGATGTACATAAAATATGATTGTTTAAATTATTTAATGAAATAGATAAAAATAAAATAAAATATTTAATAATATAATTATTTGAGCAAAATAGCATAAAACAAACAAAAATAATATATATATATATATGGTGATTATCGAATTGTTTGAAAAAAATAGAATAAGATAAAATAAATAATATATATATATGTTGTAGGTAAAGTCAAATATTTTGTGAAACACGATCTAAAAGGACTGTTGAAGTGTTTAAGAGTAGAAAAGTGACCACCCCACCCCCTACAGACCGTGACCGACAGAATTTCAGGGTGTGGGTGTGACTGTAGGTGCACGTATAAGTGCTGTAATCGTCAGGAACCCACGCTCAGATTCAGACCCGGACCTACACCTCACACCAACACCCACACACCCTCACTAGATAACTCGAGCATCACGTCCATGTACTTATCTTAAAATCCATTTTTGCGACGGAAATCAATTTTTTGGATGAGGGAAGACCGTAACACTTTTTAATCAAAGAGCTACTTGAATAAATTTGGGCGTAATCAAAATACGAATTCGGGTTCGGGTCGGGTTGAGGTTGTAAAATTTCTCTACCCGACGGGCTCTAGCCAATAGTGGCTAGACTTCCTTTCTGATTCACAGAATCACGTTTCCTCTTTTCCAGATTTTCCTTCGTTCCTCTACTCTGGAAAGGAAGTAATACATCGCTCGTGATGTTATGTAATATCGTAATGCAATCACGCATACATTATTAGAGTAGACGTTAAAGTGGATGGACGATGTTCAATCTAGTGTCAGTGTGATGCCGATTAATATTATTAAATCATTCTCATATAATGAATAGAGTACTCGAGTAGAGTAGTGTCGTGTAATGAACTTATTAATATTTTATCTCACGTGCGTATATAAAGCGAGTGTTTTATATTGTAAAGACAAAATTGGAATAATAAAGATAAAAGCTGCAGCACAAGTAACAAATATTTTATCCATAAATATAATTATATTATATATATAACATCACACCATTAATATAATTCGTTACAAAGCTCATACCGCCAACTTCCTCAAAGGTTTGAATATGAGCGGCGGGTGTGGGTGTGGGTGTATGGCAAATCTTTTTTTGCCCTGTACCCTAGGGCAGGGCAGGCTTTTAGGGCGGGTCTGCTCTGTGACGGTCTCTGTTGTGCATTCCATGGTTTAGTATGAATCGCAACAAATAAGAGTTCAGTGCTTATAAGGCATAAGTTGAATAACATTCTTGTTTTTCTGAGGTGTGAGCGTGGGTGTGGGTGAGAATGATAGAAGAAAAGACAGCCACACCCTTAAGATGGTTTTAAATGACATTTTTTGTGCTTCTTCGTAGTATCTAAATATTTCTAACGATAGTCATTGATGTGTCTCAATCAGACAAAAATAGATTTTGTACTGGTAGAATTGATTAGCTATCATGAGAGCTTCACACAATCAAAATGCTCAACTGGTTACAGAATTTTTTTTCGATCAGATCCGATCAAAACTCTAGAAATCGAGATCATGCCTGCCTCGTCTGTATTATTAATTTTTTTCTAACAAGATATTCTACAACAGATGTGTCAGAAAATGCTCAGGAAGAATGAAAGTTAGAAGTTTATTCGGAACTATGTTTAGTATTGTGAAGTAAAAAGAGTGATCATCTGTTGTTATTATTATTATTCGTAGTTTCATGAGCGACTCGATTCTGTTGATATTCTCTCCTTATTTATGATAAGAGTTTATTGAAAGAACCTGTTCAAATTTTTTATGTGATAGAGAAAAGCAGGGAATAAAAGAAAGAAAAATTATATAGAAAAAGTGAGCTTTCATTTATAAATCGTAGCATTACAAGAAGGTTTGTTTAGTACCTATTTAAATGCAGAATAATTTGAAGTGAAAACTAAGTAAAAGTTTTCATCTATGGTAAGTTTTTTATTGAAAGAAACTCTAGGTAAGAAAAATAGTTTTCCCTTTTTAATATTTTATTTTAAGTATAAGTGAACAAAGCTAGATTTTCTAAGTATAGTATTGTAAATCGACTAGTGGATATATACATTTTGTCCAGTATACCAAACAAAAATGTCGAAATAAGAAACGTAAACATTCAGTTATTGTATTAATAAAGTTATCGTTGCTTTTCCTGAACGTACACCTTTCCATTTTTCATCCAAAAGCATATCTTTCAAGAGTGCAAGTAGGGGTAGCAAGGGAGTAGTGACACTAGAAGATATCCAACACATGATCAAAGAAAACGAGCTGAAAACATTCCTATCATATATGACAAACATATATGTGTGATAGGAGAAGAGAAAATTCTAGTAGAAGAAGTAAAGGGAAAATTAACCGAAACACAGTTTTTGGAAAGGATGCGGGATACTTTTCTTGTATTATGGCCTATAAAGAAAAGTATAGTTAATCTTATTGAAACTTTCAGAAATCGAAGATCTATTATAGCTGGTAGTCATTCCTGAAAATTCCATCTCCATCGGTTGACTTTTTCCCTTAAATCAATCTCGGCAGAGTAAGGCCATATATAGCTTAGATCAAAATCTTGTAAACAGTCGATCTCTACTATTTGCTCCAGAACCAGCGCCATCTTCTCACCATCGATGTAACTCATCGAGATCTTCAAAGCTACAACTAAAATGGCTAGGGGAAAAACTTGTCTTCCTCGTGTCCTTAGCGCATATAGTCGATCTTTTAGATCTTCGTTGTCTACTGATACATTCAGTATCGGGATCAATTTTCGTATGAGTATAAAATCGATGAATGAATTAGTTAGTAGGAACCGTGTCGAATCCAATTGGTTAAAAAGTTGAGAAGGTGTAGGATAGAGATGTGCAGGGTAAGGTAGAGTAAGAGCGATCTATTTATGAAGAGCTACTCTTATGCAGTGAAATCTTTCTCTTCATAAATTCATAAATCTCACGGTACGGTTGTGTCATAGTATGACTAATAGCGGAGATCTTAAGACAAAGTAGGGTTAGGGTGCGAAGAGCGCAGGGTAGATAAAGTCTTACCCTACACATCTCTATCGATGTATATATACGAATCCAGATGAAAACCTCACAAATTGATCAAAAAACTACGTTTAATTCTCTTTCGGCAACCAAAAAACACTCTTTTATCATTCGACAGTTTATACTGAATCCCTGCTGACTCACTTTTTGTTCACTCTTCGTTGCCAATTGTACTCTTTCAGATATTTCTTTTTCCGATTCTCATCTCGTATTTTGTCATTCACCATATTCGCGAATTCGATCTGAATAATTCAACGATCATGTCATACTGGGAAACTTGTGCGCATTATACAAGTCAATTTGTTCACTATCTTCGCAATTACAACATGTTCCCATCAGTTCCACCTACTACTG